CCCCAAAACCCCAAAACCCCAAAACCCCAAGGAGCATAATAATTAAATTTTGAGTTTAAGGGAAATAGACAAATAATAATTTTAATTAACTTATAATTATATAAAACCTCAATTTTATGTTGCAAACTGGAAGTGGGGTACAAAGTTTGTTTGGAAATCCATTTAGTTCAAATGGATTCAATACATAAAACCCTCCAAGGAGTAATATCCTGTCTAATCATACTTTCAATAACCAATTCAATGCTGCTTTTGGAATCCCATTAAATGAGAAAGAAAAGAAACTCTAAGATTTTAGACAAAATTATCATTCAAAACTGGATGGCTTCACAGATGATCTAAAGTGCTTTATCTGCTTATCCTTTGTTTGCGTGCCCTTGTAATTCTAATGCTGCAGCAAACTCATTTGTAAAGAATGTTTTCTAAAGTTATAAGGCAAAGCTTAATTCATGTGTCCTTCTTGTAACAACTAATCTAGAACAGTTAATCCTCCTGATAGCTTAATCTTGGAAATTATAGATCAATTTAGAGTCTCCTGCCTTGACTGTAAAACAACATTCAATTATGGGGATTCAGATTCTCACTTTAGAACATAATGCTTAAGCTTACAAAATAATAAAGTTAAAAGTAACTAATCTGATAAGAAGAAAGACATTAATGAAAAACTGAGTAAAATTTCTCAAGAGGAAAGAAAAAAGAATGAAGATTTCTCAAAACAGAAGATGGATTAGCTTTCAATTGCAGCTATGCTAAACAGTGAACTCTCAACCTAGATTTTTTAGAATAACCAGATCAAAAGTGATATTAAATACTTGAGTAAATGCAAACATTCTTGTAAAAGAGCTTAGCATAACATCATTAGCAATAAAACTTATTTGAAGAAATTGATCATCAATGATACTTAAATTGCTTGCTATCAAATTAACTCATATGAATGCAGCAGATGCAAATTGAAACAAGTTACTGATAATTTAGATTTTGAAGTTACTTGTCCGATTCTAGATCATGTGTTTTAAGCTCAGACTCTCTAAAATAATAGCATCTCATTAAAAGATCAGGAGTTATTATGCCTAACTTGCTCGAATAATGTTAAAGTATCAGATAAATATTTCTCTTGCAGCGAGAGGTCTAAAGATTGTTTGATTATCTGTGTAAACTGTGCTGATAATTCTAAACTGGTATTCAAAACTCTCCAAGACATGTATTTTTCATCTATTGATAAGCTTCAGCCAATTGAGAAGAACTAGAGACACCCTCATTCTTTACACCATGATATTTCCTTCACTAAACTTGAATGTAATTCTAAAGTATGCATATTTTAATAGGAGTAGCCTAGATACGATTATTGGTATTGCAAGTAATGTGATTTCAAATTGTGCTATAATTGTACTAGATATTGATTAGAAAAAGGCTAATGCAGCTAGTTTTGCACAAAAAAATTGATAATTAATTGAGATTTTATTTAAAACATTTGATATTTGCCTATTTTTTTTATTATTGTCATTTGGGGTTTTGGGGTTTTGGGG